AGTCTTTGATTTGATTGGTTTAAAAATTCCCATGTTCTATCAATATGCATATAATGTATGACTAAGATCCTGGCGTCTCCAATCAGAGGCCTCGATTTCTGTTGGAATCTGAGAAAGATCTCGGTATGAGAATGAMWKTCAGGACTCTCCAKTCRTTGTGAATTAAGAAGCCACGTCAATGAYAAATCAMTGTYATTWTATTTTGCTCCAATAGAAAACATGCTGATAGTGCAAACAAGGTTYATGTTCATTGATGGTCATCTACTTTTCTTCACTGTTGCTTCCATTGTATGTTATTTGAAATTTAGAAGGCATTCTGAGAGGTATGTACTTGTAAATTCTGATTTAAAGACATGCACTAAGCATAGAAAAAGATAATCCAAGCTCCTGTGTCTATTAACACAAATAATTTATACGTCATATTCTGATGTAAAAATGGAGACAGCTGTCTCCTTTTACCTCTGCATTTGTTTAACAAATTTAATTCAATTCATTCATGTCAAWAAAGAGCTTGAAGTACCATATACATTTGTTGCTATATATTTTTTCAGTGCTTTTTCTTTTTCYTGGTGGATGTGGCTTGTGCTGTTAGGTTTATCATTGGTAGGAGCCTGTAGGTGAGAATAAACTATATTGAGGTCGTACAGTAGTTATATGTAAATCTATCCATTCATCCATGCATTTATACATTCTTCCATTAATCCAACTCTCCATCTATTTATTTACTTATTCTAMCATCCTTCATTAATCTGTCATCCTAACCATTTTCTCATCCATTTATTCATTTCATTATCCATTTTGAATTCATAGATTTTGTCCATCTATCTATCAATAAGTTCAATCGTTCATACATTGTGTAGCTTAGATTATTTTATGTTGATTTATATGTGCAAATCTGTTTTCAGTACAAAGTACTGYGGGTGCATGACATTACTTATTCTTGGTATTATGATGGGTATAGACTACTGGAAAATGATTGGAGACTCTTCTCTTACAGGGGTCAGTACAAAAACTCTTTGGCTGTGTTATATACAGTCAATACCATTAACACTGGGTTCAGTTGTAAAGAGAACAGCAAAACCATTTGCATAAGAATATTATTTTTAAGATTCTCAGGGAGTTTCCATGAATGAAAAACTCCAGTTAAATAACGCATAATAATAACAATTAAAGATATATGGCAAAATGGTTTGTTGTTGTCTTAATGTCTTTACAACAAAATGTAACATTTTTATGGGATTGACTGAATATAATGCCAATTTACAACAATGTCTCCAATTGGTCTTTGTGTAGACTTATTGTTTTTACCTTAAAATAAGGAAATATGTACCAACATAAAACAATATTCTAATTTCTCACTTGTCACTCCTTTGTCATTTGTCTTTTGTCACGTTATGTTACTTTATTCAACTCTCGTATTCAATCTCACTCGTAAATCATTATAATAACAAATATTTGCTTGATAATGGCAACATGACGACACTAAAAAGTTGGATTAATAACAGCAAAACCATGTGTTTTATTTCCTTATCTTTCTTAACTTTCATTTCAGAAAGAGTTATGGCAGCACCTATCAGCAAGAGCAGTCTGTGTTGGTTTTCTGCCACTGTTTTTATATCTTCTTCAATTTTATATCATGTTTACTGTGCTGTACAAAACTGGTCCCCATGACGAYATGATGTCTAGTGCATTCCAGGCRAGCCTAGAGGGGGGTCTTGCTAAAATCACTCATGGACAAGCCCAAGGTGCTTTACACTATAAATGTTTGTGTAATATTACTTATTATATATCTTATTTTATCTGAGTTTGACTGTAATTTTTGAACTACATAAACTTATCATTAACAGTATCGATCCACAGGTGGCTGGCAAKTGAAATCTAAAYCAAAGGAAATGATCCCTATTTAGCTGCCTTTGTTTGTCTCTAAGAGCTGGGAATTGCTCAGTATTTAGCGGGGAGGAGCATTATTTCAATTAACTTAAACATTAGGAGGGACCTAATGTTTCTCTTTCTTTTGCAGAGGTTGCATATGGYTCACAAATTACATTACGGCACACATTTGGACGGCAGTGCTGGCTCCATTCTCACACCCATAACTATCCTATTAAATATCCTGATGGGCGTGGCAGCTCTCATCAGCAGCAGGTCACATGYTACAGTTTTAAGGACGTCAAYAATTGGTGGATTATAAAAGACCCTAAAATGTATGTGAATGATTGGTGGTAATCTCTCACTCTTTCAGCCTACTTTGCAGCCTGAAATGAGAAAAGTTTGTTAAGGAGAAGTTATAAGTTTGATCAAGTCAACAATTTTTGTGATTGGTTTTGCATCAAAGAGGAAGCCTCTAGAGGCTGTTGCATGTTATGCCACAAAAATACAAAAAATATTCTAAGATTTGCATTAAACAAATTAAAACAAGACAACTCAAAGGAGATCAAATACTGACAAAATTTTATTCCTCTTCTAATTCCACTTCACCAAAGTTAACACAGGGAGTCCATTCCTAAATTATTATTCTGTAAATAATGAAATATCTCTTTGCTTTAATACAGAGACAATCTCAATGTGGACTTCCCACCTCGTCCAGTCCATAATGGTGATATTATACAAATTGTCCATGGTGTTACGGGTAGAGCCCTTAATAGGTAACAAAAAGACCATTTTACCCTGTGTAGATCTTCCCCCACCCCTCTCCAYCACAGGATTAAAAAAAACAAGAATTTTTCCCTACATGGGGAGGGGTGGGGAATATTTGTGCACAGTTGGGCATTTTCTGTAAAATTGTTTTTGAATCTATTGTTGTCTCTTGTATGATTACAGCCATGACGTAGCTGCACCTATGTCACCAACCAATCAGGAAGTGTCTTGTTACATAGATTACAATATATCAATGGCCGCGCAGAACTTATGGAAAGTTGTAAGTACTACTCTGGTAGCGTGGTGTTTCTCCATATTCTAACATGAGAAAAGGAATTCATTTGTTAATGSTTTTGCTGTTGTTCTTTTCCAGGAAATAGTCAACCCTGATTCCAGTAATATTTGGAGAACAATTCAGTCTCAAATACGTTTTGTTCACGTGAATACGTCACAAGCAGTTAAGGTATTAAAGCTATTTATAGTCTACCTGCGCCATCTTGAATGGTAACTGTGTCTCTTCATTGAAGCAAGATCGGACTGTTGAGCGCACAATGAAACTTATTTTCACACATTTATTACAATTATTCACAGGCATCTGTTATTCCAAGCTCAACAGTCGTCTTTCTGGCAGCTTTTTRCCAACAATCAACCATTTTCATCCTTTCTGATGAACCATAGTCGATACATTTTGATGAAAAAGCCTCACCTTTCAAGATGAAAGCCATTTTAAATGTGCTCTGTTACTGTTTTTGTTCATATCACTCATTTTTAGCCTGAGTTTCATCCAGTGTTCTCTCGTAAACACCGGTTAATTTTGAAAATAAACTGAATGTACGCAGGCGACTCATTTTTGGATTTTGTCCACTTTTAGGTAACCGGTCTTCAATTGCCTGATTGGGGATTCCATCAGTTTGAAGTGGCTACTGACAGGGTTATCAACCAGCAAGATACCACGTGGAATGTTGAAGAACACCAACAGAACATAACTTATCGTAAGTACCGTAACGTAACGACGTTGATAACGTGATATAACAGCGTAATAACTTACGTTTCAAGAAACAGAACAGAAACGAAAACCACTTTCCTTTTTTTTCGAGTTTTTGAGCATTCAATGATGAGCTTTCGATACTAATATTTTGNAAAGTGCTGTTTTCGCTGTGAAGAAAAACCATGAAAATACTCACTTCACTAGCTACATCTTCTTTCCCTGATTGCTGTCCGCCCTGACTCTGTCCATCAGCAAGTCCTTTACGATATGAATCTGATTTTTCTTGTTCAAATTGTTCTTTCATTTCATGCGCTTTTGAACTGACATCGTGGAACTGCAGKGGAARAAGGAGATTACAACAAACGATCCAATCAAAAAACAATACAGCCAAACATGCAACCCAATTAAATGAAACATAACTTACCAAACATTCAGACCGTCAAGCAGCCAACTAACCACACATAACTTAAACCAACCCAAACATGCAAAATGTCAAGTTGTCAGTACGTAACTTACTTTTGATTCAAATTCACGAAGCTTCTCAACAGTTTCTTTTAATTGTAAAATTTCCAAATCTTTGTCACCTTTCGAGCTTGCAATCTTTAGAATTTACGAAAAAAAATCAACAATTATTCTTGGAAAAACTGAAAAACTATTMTGTGAAATACTAACCTTTTCTCGTTCCGACGTCAGGTCGTCGATTCGACTTTGAAGATGTCGTATTTGTTCTTCTCCTTCTTCTTGGGATGATTTCAACTCTGAAGTCTAAACACATMAATGGTATTAGCACTCTGATGGCTTCCTAACATCAACCAATAAGGTGTCACAATATAAGAACTACTGATGGAAACATCCAATCAGAAAACGAGAATTTCCTGGACTTGCACTTGAATGGCTTTTCCAACAGTAAAGTAGAGATTTTCGCAACTTGAAACAAAATTGCTGGGCTGGTATTTGTTTGAAAACTACCTGGTAGTTAATTTTCCACAGCAATTATTTAAAGAGGAAGCTATTCATCTACCTTTTCATTTAACGCGGTAAGTTTTTTCGACAATTCGTCTTTTTCTTCAACAATATCATCATACTTTCTCTTCCATTTTTGTTCGCACTGGGACACCATTTTTGCAGACTTCTCRGTCCACCTGGTTTCCAGCTCACTCTCCAACTCTGCAATCTAAAARGAAACSTTTTGAATTAAAAAAAAACATTCATTTTTGTCGTTAAACTAAATGACAACTCGAACCTTCTCTGCAGAAGGATCTCCGGATTTMATTTCTCTTCTGTGTCTGTCTTTAAGCTTTTGAATTTCTTCCTAAACAGTTATAAATTCGTATCTTTAGCAGGCAAAAACACTAAGAAAACGTAAAAGAATACACCAAGTGAAAAGTTTACCTCATGCTGGTTTCTGAGGTCCTCTAATTCTTCTTCAAACCTTCGTTTATCCTGAGTTTGCTTTCTCTTTCGCTCAGTTATACTCTAAGAAGATTAACATAGTTTTTTTATACATCATGATAATCATGTAMACAAAATAATTCGGTTTTTATCTAAATACCTTCTCTAGACTTTCTTTTTCATGTCGCAGGTCAGCAATTTCTTCCTCGACACGGTCTGCTCTGCTTTCTACCCTTTTCCTCGTTTGCTTTTCTTCTTTTAAATCTTGCTTCAACTTTGAGGCCTCTGAAACTTTTTCTGCAGAACAAAATGAAATTCTATCAAATCAAAAGTTGGTCTTGTAACATCGTTAACTATTGCCCTCATAATAATAATGTTTAATATTTATATTGCGCTATTTTACATGCATATTATGATCAAATGCGCATTATATACCTTCGTGCATTTCTTTCATATGTTCTAGCTCTTCTTGGTACTTGGTTACATTGAGTGCTGCTTTATTCGCTTGGCTCTTCATTTCTGATTCTTGCTTTCTCAGTGCTGTAAGAAGTGTTTCTGCTTCGTTAAGGCGAGTCTTCAACTCCGTTAACTCAGCAGTTTGCGTTATCTATAAACAGAAACAAATGAGTCACACAAAAATTGGTTCAAGAAATATAAATAAAGTCAAAATCTCAAAGTAAACATCATACCTTTTCTTGTTCAAGAGAGAGTACTCTGGCCTGACTTTGYGCAGAATTGTGTTGTAAGGAATTACTACTTTGTTCCAGCATTACATTACTTTTCTCTAGAAATCTGAAACACAAGATTTTCATTTAACTGTTTGTGTCACAAAACTGACAGGTAGCGGTATGTAGGACAACAATTCAACTGATTCAGCTTAAAAGAAACTTACTTTTGATTTTTATGAAGCAGCTCTGCAATCTTTTCATTTAATGATTCAATTTTTAATGACTTTTCATTATCAGCCGTTTTAAGCTTTTCATTTTCCTACATTGAAGAAACAAACCCATTAAAAAGACTGAAACAGAAAAACAAAGATAAGAAAAAAATGGTGTAAAAGAAGAAAGCAAATTCATTCACTAACTTGCACAATCCTGGTTATATTATGAAGAAGAACTGAAGCCTCCATGATAGAACTACCATTTCCAGGAATTCCACTTCCTGGTCCAGCTGGTACAAGAGATCCTGAACCACGCTGAATCTCACCAACCTYAAAATTATCCAAAATAACCCATTAAAAGTCATTTTAATTATTCTTGAAAAACCTTTCCGAAACAAGGACCTTTACCATTAGTACAATTGCATACAATTTCTTTTCTGTGCTCTCAATTGATTTACTCACCTTATTCAAAACTTCATCTACTTTATCAGCGACCTTCCCTATAGCTACACGGACCTCACTCTGTTGCTGSCGTGTTTCTGCCATTAARACTGGCAYTAGRGTATCAYTKGARGTACTTTGCTGTGGTGCAGGGGCCTGAGGAGGAGGTTGAGGTTGTGGGAAGGCCTGGGCCGGAAATGGTGCTTGTTGGTAGAACTGTGCTTGTGGCTGTTGCATCATGGGATAGTTCATGGGCATCGCAGCTTGTGGTGGCTATTGTAAATTTAATGTTTTAAGTGATTTTGCTTCAAATCTTGAAAGTAAGTGTACAATTTTTACCTGATAGAGTGCAACTTGCTGTGTTGGGTACCCTGTGGCAGGCACAGAGGGATGGTGATGTACTTCTGGGTGTGGCTGCACTGGAACAGGTCTTTGAGGTACATGGGGCTTACTCCTTGGATTAGGACGTGGATTTGAGTGGGTTTGTTCAGGCACTGGGTTGTGTTTTGGTGAAGGTGACGTTGGTGATATAGGAGCTTCATGTTCTACTGGGTCTGTTTCAGTAGTTGGTGACGAAATAGAGTTTGTTTCCTACAAAATAAGCAATTGTTTCACAGGTTTATGAAATCCATGATAAGATAATTAATGCTGTTTGTTGAATAGAGTTCCTTATACCTC